CGTGGTAAAATAAATAATTGGCGCGTGTTTCCCACAATAGCGCGTGTGTGTACTACTGTAGCATAGTAAAGTGAACTTGGAGCACGTGTAGTTGATAACAGTGAAAGGCGATAGACTTATCGCCAATGCACCATGCACGAATGCTACGTAATTCTTTTTTAGATTACGTAACTCTTCGTAAAACTTACTGGATTATATATTGTATTGTTATATTATAGTCGTAATACTCCGAATAGTACGTTGCACTCAACTGCGCGTGCGCCTTTGTTACACGTGCTGCATTGCATGTGCACTTGTATTTATTTAAATTTTTACTATCGCTTAAAATTTTGGTTTATGCATAATCTACGCTAATTTTTAATCGTACGACTGTTTAGTTGGATGTGAAAAGTCTATGGGAATGTATGGAAGTCCGCAAATTATTAACTAGATAGTTCCTTGAAAAAATAATTTTAAAAAAAACCACATCGATTCGACTTCGGTACGGTACTCAATTCGACTGTATGTCTTTTAATCTGTGTTACCTCTTGACTTTTTACTGGGTGAACCGATTACGATTATTCTTTTATTATTTGAAAGCTGGTACTTCTCGTGTGGTCCCATATGAATTTGATCAAGGTCAGACCAATAGTTTTTGAGTTATTCTTAATGACTTATATTAAAGTCGCTGTACAAAATTTTTAATTTTAAATTATTTAATAATCGGTCGAACAATAACTGTTACTCAATGTATATTTACCATGGATCGACTAAATACTCGTAGATCCGATGCGCGTCACAAGCACACACAACTTTGATCCATTCATCAATCGATACCTATATAATTTGCAGTGGGCCTACAGTTACCTTAATGGTTTATTGTGTGCTATATACTGACTGCTTCGTTCGTCTAGTGGTCGTAAACAAAGTTGCTGATCATGAGGTCCCGGGTTTGAATCACGGGTCGGGCCAAAATCAGTTATTGGGTTTAGGTCAAGAAATTCTTAGTAGTAACCAGCAAGTTAGCGGTGTTTAACTTCGGTACTTTCCGACGCACCGGGGTGAACGTAAGGCACGTAAAGCCGTTGGTCCTGCGCCTGATGTGTCTCCCGTCGTGACCGTTAGACGGGATGTCGGACTGATGAGTGAGAGAATAGAAAGTGCACCTGTGTTTGCCAACATACTTTTGGGCAGTATGATACTATACTGCGCAGATGGCTAGTCTCCGTTGAGATTGACCGCCGTGACAGAAATTCGGTCTGGAGGTCGCGTACTTTGTACCATACCTCTCTGAGTAAGATAGGCTCTCTGAGTAACTTTATTTATGTTTTATAGCTATATATAAAAATCAATTGCTGTCCGTTAGTCTCAAAATTGGCTAGACCGATTCAGATGAAATTTTGTGTTTGAGTGGGGCCCTGGACGGTTTATATTCAAAATTGGACCCGGTAGGTGGACTTTTAAATTAATTATTTTACTCATTGCATATTAATTTTAAGTGAAAAAAGAAAGTATATTGTGAGTTATTAAAAAAAATCAATCGCCAATATTACTTATTATATTATTGTGCGTAAGTGTAAATGTTAACATTTAGATTTGAAATGGAAACTTATTGCGTTCATCATAACCTTCTTATCAATATAAGGTGTAGGTAATATTTGAGAGCATAAAAAAAACCAATAAAAACTTCCATTATCGGCGTGTACTGGAAAGAAAACAAACACGACGGGCGATAGTATCGTTCAGCACGTGGAAGACCCAACCCCGTTTAATTAACTTTTGACTTTGAATTTGTATATTTTCTTTGTGCAGGAACTGAGGTTAAAAATGTTCTAATAGATTTCGAATGGAATTTGTTCCATTTCTGACATAACTATGTTGTTTATAAAATAGATTTTTTTTTACTTTTACGTGGTAGAGCCATGCTGCAGCTATATTAATAGTATAGTTGTAGCACGAATGGGTCGGCTCGACCGGGGAAGGACCATGCTCTCACAGAATACCAATGTAAAATAGCAGCTTAATGCTGCTGTGTTTCGTATGGTGAGTATAGAGAACCGGAGACCTATTTTACTGGAAAAGAGGCACTCCATCTTAGTCCTCACGGCTGACAATGCATGTGCATTTTAATTCGCAAACGAGGATAGATGTAGATGCCTATGGTCACAGCAACCACTTACCATCTGGTGAACTGTGTGCTCGTTTGTCACCCTTATTCTATAAAAAAAAAGATACAAAAAGTTAAATCGAAGCGTCAAATTCTCCACGAAGTGAGTTTTGGGCACACACTGTTTCGTGATTGTAACGTTCGGGTGTTAATGCTTAATCTGACTATTAGGTTGTGTTTATCGATTATGGAAACTTTAAGACTTTTGTAGAAGCTAAAGAGGAAGAAAATTAAGAGAAAATAAAACGGAAAAGAAATTGTCATCCACGTCATGCCGCTGTGCTTGAAGTAGCGCAACAGCGCGCGAATATCTTCAGCTTCGACCTCGATTCTGTTAATACGTTCTTCCATAAGTTTTTTGCTCAACACAAATTTAAACATTAGTAAGAGTTTAATATGCTATAAGATGCTTATATTAATTAACTTTGCGTAGCTACGTCGCACTTCCCTTCTGCGTCAATTTGAATTGGGCCTTCGGCGTACCGCATGTCCCCTGCAGAGACGGTGCAATGGCCGTACCATTCGTTGTGAAGAAGAAGCATAGCTCCCGCACGCATCCGCATAGGCTACGCCCCAACCATGCTCGACATTACAACGGCCGTCTTAGGAACGGGGAATATAGTATTATAGTATAATATATCAATGGCTTTTGCCAAGTCACTATGACACCGACACTAATAGTGTCGGTGTCATAGTGACTTGTTATCGAAAATCGAAATAGTGACTTGTTATCGACAGTGTGAACTTGTTATCGAGTCTTGATGACACCGCAGATGTAAACAATGACACTGCATCTTCAGTGTATTTTACTCTTCAATAGCTAAATTGTCTTGGGTATTATGTGATTCTAAGAAACTTGTTAGTCTTATGCCCAATTTCACCGACATCCCCTAAACAATCACATAGTTAGACGACCGCTAAGCTAAAAGGTCCCCTAAACCAACCCATAACTAAAATTTGTTTTCACGAACGCAACGGACTTATAGCTAGGGGACCCTTCCTTATGTGACCGATTTTTTACGACGATAGTGCTTGATACCCAGTTGTAGTTACCGGTTTTATCGGAAATGATATATATTAATACAAAAAATACGTATTCATGTATTATTTTAATGAAGAAATTAGTTCTTTCATATTTTGACTGATATATGTTTTCATTTTGTTAATATTTTAATAAAAATATCATATTTTTAGTTTATGTTTGACAAGTCACCGTATTTGACACTCAGCTTTATCTGTGCATTGACTGTTTGACATTTGTCTCTGCAAGTCACAGCTGCAAGTTTTCGTGGTGTTTCCTTTGGTATCTCGTTTCTAACTTTTTATTTTATAATTATGGCCGAAAATAAGAGAAAGCGGTGTCAAAATTTCACGTTTGATGAAAAGGATAAACTTGTAAAGTTAATGAATACTTTTAAAAATGTTATATTAAATAAAAAGACGGACGGTACAACAAATCAAGCGAAGAATGAAGCGTGGGTGAATTTGTGCACAAGATTTAATTCCACAGGAACCACGGCTAGGTAAGTTATTGATAAACAGTTATTGATAAAAATAAACCTTTTGTTTAGTACTTGTTATAGTTGTTTTAAAGTTAAGTTGCCTTTACATCCAAACTTTATAGCTGTAAATAGTTATTGTCATAATTATTATCTTGATTTTGTATAATATGCAATGTGTGTATTAAAGAGTTTCTATTTACTTACTTGAATGAGAAGTTACCTACCTAATACCTGTATTCTCAGTACATTAACCTCTTTATCTACTATGATGAACGTACTGAATTGCCTTTTAATAACCTACCACTAACATTTCAGAAGTAAAGAATCTCTTATGAGAGTCTGGGAGAAAATGAAGACTGATGCGAAGTTATACAAAGCACTTAGCAAAAGCAGTCACAATGGCACAGGAGGTGGCCCATCGTGTGTTAAAACAGATATAATTTTGGAACAAGTCAGTGACTTGATGGGCCGAGCATGTACAGGCATAACTGATGTCCAGGATTCAGATGCTGACCAAATTACTGAAGCCAGTTCATTACCAATACTTGGTGATGAGACAATGGAAATTTTAATATTTCAAAATGAAAATGTTAGTATTTATAGAATTCTCTATTATGTAGGTATATTAAAATTAGAAACTGACTGACAAATAGTCCAAATGCCGTAGTAGAAATCAGGGCAATAAGTTTGTTACATATTATAATATTATATAAAAGTAAGTTATGTATATTATTGTGTTTGTTTAAGGAGATGCTTTTGTTCCTACCAGTGGTTCAATAGAGGGCTAGACAGAGAAACACTACGAGGCGACAACGACAAAATGAACTAAACTGGCAGAATTTTCAATACAAAATTATTTCACTCATTTGTATAGGTGTCGACCCACTGTATGATTATATTATATTTACACTGTGATTTTTATATTAGAATTTGTTTTGTTACAATTTTAGTGCAATACAAGAAATGTGGAAAATATTGAAAATAACGATGTTGGGAATAATAATGACATTGCTCCAACACTGTCATCACCAACATCGTCTCAATTTATAAAGTCCACACCTATATGGAAAAGACGACGACCAATAATTAAAGAAAATAAGGATAAAGCTGAAGTTGTTTCAACGTTATGTGGAGGTTTTAAAGATTTGAATTCTAAAAAGGCTACTGTGGAAGATTTAAAAATTAAAATGTTAGAAGAAGAAATAAAATTTAAAAGAGAATTGTACCAGCTGCAGTTAGAAACAGCTAGAAAGGAATTGGAAATTAAAACTGAAGTATGCAACCAATTAAAAGGTATGTGTTTTATTTATTGGTGAAATTACTATATATATTTTACATAATAAATTAGATATTTATAAATTATCAAAATATTGTGTAATTTGATTTCTGCGAAATCCATATGACAAAGAAGGTCTGTCAGAAAATGCCATATTATTTATTTGTCCCCTTGCAATTAGCTCTTCCAGGTTAGGCACATCATCATTATTCACAGGCTGTTGCTCATTTCTTAATATGCATATATTATGCAAGATACAGCAAGCTATAATGACATTAATGGCATTGTTTAAAGCTAAACGAATTCCAACCGCAAGTACTGGAAACCTTCGTTTTAGCACACCATATTGCCGTTCCACCACATTTCGTGTTCTAATGTGGGCCTCATTATATTTTCGTTCTCCACTTGTTGTAGGGTTGAGATAAGGTGTCAAGAGATGAGGCTAAAACAAAAATATTTTTAAGTATTATTGTATATAATAATGTAATTTATATGATGTAAAATATTTCTTTTCTATTCCAGGTCACACCTTAAACTTTCAAAATGTATCAGGAATACCTAAAAATGGTTCTGCAAATAACTAGTTTAAGTGTACTTTTTAATTAATTAAATATCCCTTACCCATGCATAATCTTTTTATTAAATAAAAAGTATTTATTTAATCAATATTTTGAGCTCTGTGATGAATGATGTTATTCTTTTTGTTTGTAATTTTTGTAATTCTTTTTGTAACCTACTTAAGTTTTAATCAATATTATATTATTATTCTCCTTATTTTTTCTTTTACCTTTAAGGGATAGCCACTATCCCCAAGTAAATGGCTGTCTCCATACTCCCCTCTTTCAAACTTTCTATAAATATAGCTATTTTGGTAAATTGCTGAGTCATGTGTAGAGCCTGGCCAGCGTGCAACAACATCCTGGACCAACAACTTTGCTGATGCAATTGTTTGGACATTTATGGACATGTAGCCTTTCCTGTTTCTAAATAGTTCAGCATCATCTCCACCTATAGATATAAATAATACTTCATCAGCATTGCTTGATAGACTACTAAGAGAAATGAACTTTTAGTGAAAGGTAGTTAAATAAAAATGAGGAATTTACCTGGTGACTGAATTTTTACATGTGTGCAATCAATACAGCCTAGTACATTAGGGAATCTAGCTATATCATAGAAGTCTATCTTAACTCTGTCTTGGTCTCTGTTTGTATCAGGAAATATAATGAATTCTCGACGTAGGGAAACAATTGCTTGAGACACTCTCTTTACTATCCGGCTGGATGTAGCCAAACTAGTACCACCCATATCAGCCACAGCAAGCAAGTGATTGCCTGTGGCATAATATCTTAAAGCTATTAATAATTGATTTATGGGTGGTATGGAATTGTTCCTGTAAAAAATATAAACAACTACAAATTAAAATAGGTAGAAACATAAGTAAGATATACCTCGGGTATCAATTTACCATGGTAGGTAGGTTAGCACCAAACAGGTACCTACGGCCTACCTATACAGGCTCATTTTCTATTCAAAAGTTACTGTTAGGAGAGCAATAAAGTAACCTTTTATGCTTTTACCTTTATTTCGTAGCTAGGTATAATAGGTAATAAGTGAAAATGTAGGAACCCAGGAACCCACACTTTAACTTAAATATTTAATAAACTACAGTTTTAATAACATTATAGACTATTGTACATACATTGAAATTGATAACATATGTAAATAGTTAGGTACTCACCTATTATCAGGAAATTCCAAAATATGTTCAATTTTTTCCAACAAATATATCACTGTTGATTTAGATAACCTATATCTTCGGAAAAAATCTATTTCATCGAAATCGTTGAAATAATTTGGTCGTTTTCGATATATTTTAGGTCTTCGACTACGATTTATATCAAATATAGTATCAGTTGTGTCTAAATTATCAAGAAAATCAAATAGATCACGGTCCATCTTGTCCTCTAAAAGTCGCTTTTACTTATGTGAAGGTTTATGGGACCAATAATCCATCTCATAAATTTAGGGGATCGTTTAGTCAGTAACGGACCCTTTAAAAGTGGTGAAACGGAAACTATCCCCTAACTGGCCGCTAAATATGCTAAGGGGTCCCATAAATCTTACGGGTCGTTGGTGAAAGTGGGCATTATACAAACAAGCCTTTCTAGGTAGGATCTTTAAGAAGGCACCGAAAAGGGTCTCTTTTGTATTGAAGTTATAGTATCTCCTTTCCAATAACTGGAAAACTCCACTTACTTTCATTACAGTAAACACCAGGAACAAACACTAGCTAATAAAAAATAAAAAAAATAAACCTTTATTATTTTCTCCCACAAATTGTACAATTGCATATTTTATCTTTTAAAAACATATATATTTGTTATAACAAAAAAAAAACAAAGAGGTACATAAATTTGTGGGAGACGGGAGTCCACACTAGGATACCCTGTGCTATGGATCTCCCGGCTCCCCATTAGAATGATCAACTAGATGTTTCTTTTTTTATTTTTATTATACGTATATAGCAGAGACTTTTTTCCGTTTGCGAGAGAGCATACGCGCAAGCAGTTAATCTTATTGTTTGTGTGTGTGTGTGTGTGTGTGTGTGTGTGTGTGTGTGTGTGTGTGTGTGTGTGTGTGTGTGTGTGTGTATGTGTGAGTGTGTGTATGTGTGTATGTGTGGGTTAACTCGTACGTGGTATGTTAAGATGCAATCTGCAGTAATTGTTCTGTTTTTTCGTAATCAAGTTTAAGCAGCCACTTTGAAATTTTCTTTTTACATTCAAATTTAGTTAGGTTAATGATACGGTGTAATTTGTTTGCTTTGTTATATAATCGACTACCTCTAAAACTGAAAAACTTTTGAGCAAAAAATGTTTTTACCGGAATAATTTCACAGACTTCATAATCTCTCCTCGTACCAGAGTTCCTTATATTATCCAACAAATCAATACAACTATGTTTTTTTAACATTATTGATAATATGTAAATTTTTCGAACCGTTAAAACATTGGCTTCTGCGTATAAGTTCATAGTCGGATACGTCCTAGGTTTTTTCAAGGCAATTTTTAATATCATCCTTTGTACCTTTTCAACTTCCATCATTAATGTTTTACTAGAGCCTTACTAACCTAACGATTCATATACAGTTTTAATTAAATTCCAATTTGCGATATGTCTTAAGTTTTTAAATATGTAGATAAGCTTTCTAATTTTTTGAACTAAATAGTTTATATGTTCTTTGAAAGTTAGATTCTTGTCTATTATTATGCCGAGGTACTTTATGTTATTTGTATTTTCAATATCAGGACATTTACAATTTGAAATAGAGGTCATATTACATGAATGTGCTATGATTTTAAATTTATTTGTAATACAGGTTGAATTTCGGATGGAAAACATTACATATTTGGTTTTATCGGTATTTAAAGTGAGACTATTTAGAGCAAGCCAGTGACACACTATATTGAAACCATCCTGTGCAATTTTGAAAACTTCTTCCCAAGAGTCTCCGTAGAACGAGAGGGTTGTGTCGTCAGCATATGAAATTATTTTACAATTTGGGATGTTTAATTGACAAAGATCGTTTATGTAGCAAAGGAAGAGAGTTGGACCGAGAATACTTCCTTGTAGTACTCCGTAATTGATTGGTCTTTCATCACTAAAAATCTCTCCTATCCTAACTCGTTGTGAGCGATTTTGTAGGTAATCTCTAAAAAGTTGTAATTGTACATTTCTAATACCCATTTTTTCAAGTTTCTCGATCAGTTTAGAAGATGAAATAGTGTCAAAAGCTTTTTGCAGATCAATAAAGATTGTGATACATTTTTTATTGGAATCTAATTTTTGCACAATAAATTCTGTAAAAATATGTATAGCGTCCGTAGTTGATTTACTTCTTCGAAAACCGAATTGACCATTTGAGAGAATTTCATTATCTTCTAAATATTTTATAAGTCTAGTGTTTATTATTCTTTCAAGGAGCTTAGACATAGACGGGAGTAACGACATTGGACGATAGTTAGTGATGATGTCACGCTTTCCGTTTTTAAAAACTGGTATTGTGATGGACCTTTTTAAAACTGTTGGAAAAATACCTTCTTCTAGACACCTATTAAAGCTATGATTAAGTGGGGGGATTATAAATTCTTTAAGACATTTTAAAATTTTTGGCGTAATACCATCCCAGCCAGCACCACAATCAGTCTTGAGATTAAGAATGAGACGTTCGAGTTCTTCTACACTTGTTTTAAGTAGGACAAAAGACTTACTTTTGACTGTTACAGGATTTACAGTGGTAGGAAGAGGCGGAAGATCTATTTTAAGTTTATTTGACAAGTTAGAGCCTATATTTGCAAAAAAAGTGTTTATAAAGTTGACGGAACTAAGCGGGTTATTTTCAATCTTGAGAAGTTCAGCTGGTAGCTCTTTTGGTTTATTTAAGTTATTTATATTTTTAACAACATTCCAAATTTTTTTATTATCATTTCCAGCGGCTTTCAATTCATTTCTTTCATAATGATTCTTTTGTTTTTTTAATATATCATTACAAAAGTTTCTGTATCGCTTATAAGTACATTTTAAAATTTCATTTAGAGGATCTTTATTTAATTTATAATGCATTCCATCTCTGGTTCTTATACATCTTAATAAACCAACAGTTATCCAGGGTTTTATTGTGATTTTGCTTCGGGGTATTCTAATTTTAATTGAATTATTAACACTTATTTTTTGTATGTGTTCAATAATAAAGAGTATAGATTCATTTGGATTAAGTTCATTATTATATATCTCATTAAAATTTAGGTTTTTACAATCTTCATATAGGTTATCGAAATTTAATTTATTAATGAAATTATTTTTATTGTTAATATTTTGTTTTATGGATTTAATGCAGAAAAGAACCGGTTCGTGGTCAGTAATGGAAGTTAATAAAATAAAAGTATATGTGGGATATTTCGTCTTTAGAATTACATGGTCAAGGCAACTATTACCCCTAGTGGGATGATAATATGCCGGTATCATTCCATAGAAAGCCAGAACTTCTAGGTAATTGGATGACAGCGAATTAAGTTCAGCAATGTTAATATTTAAATCTCCCATCAAGAAAGTATTTTTAAAAGAAGATAGTTCAGTTAAAGTGTTTTGTAACGATAGAAGGAATTTATCCAGCGATAGGTAGCTAGGGGATCTATATATAGCAATTATAGCTGTCTCGTTATTAATTTTTATTAATAGGGAGTTCGCTTCAGATATATTAGGTTCATCTACTTCAAATTTTAATTCTTTCTTTATCATAACGACAACACCTTCGTTCTGATTATTGTTCATCATAGTTTTAAAGGAGATGTATCCTGGGATAACCGGAAGGTTAATGACACAAGATAGCCAACATTCCGAAAGGATTAAAATATCACAGTCAAATTTCATCCTATGTAGTAACACGATTAAGCTGTTAAAGTTTTTGTTTAAGCTTCGTATGTTTAACTGTAATATTTTTAAGTATAAGGATGGATGCAATACAAAATTTATACATGATTCAGACTAATGATACCAGTTTTTCGAATCCACAGAGTCAGTAATTCATTCATGGGGCAATTTATACGCTATTACAACAAAGTCACAGAAAATGTACGAAATCTAGTTTAAATATCTAATTAAATAAAAATAGTATAAAGAGGTTTATTATAATATAAATAAATGAATACATAGCTCTTAATAGCCCCTGGGAATGAGGTGGCAGCTTCTAAGCTTTCTTATATAAGTTTTGTAAGTAGTTTGTACAACCTGTGTTTTTATTGTTTGTGCAATTGTGAGAGAGCGGGAGGCGCTCTTCAAAGTGGGCAAGACACACAATTTTATTTTTTTATGCGGACCTTAGCTTGTTAATTTTATCATTTTTAATATATGCGAGTCACTTAAAATAACTTTGCTGTGTTATTCATGTTCTAACTTTCTCTGGATCAGTCTGTGATTTATCAAGACGAGTGAGAAATTGATTTTTGCCTAGAGTACTTCGACAGTAAATAAGTGCGTTATATAAATCAAGAGGATTCGTGGGTCATTAGTGTTCTGTAGACATCAATTCAATCGGCTCTTTTTATTACAGCATACATAACGCAACTATTCATCGATCTCCACAGTTTTATAGGATGCTGAAAAAATTGTAGAGAACAATAGAGGTTGCATTAACCACCCCAGGCTCTTGTCACTCTAATGATGGATGCCATTATTCCATAGTTTTTACTTTTGAGTAAAACCGATAAGTTCATTGCGACTACGCATGCAAGCCTAAAATTGTATACGGTTCGTTTGGCGTGCCTTGCCACCACTCGGGATCGCTCAGCACGACTCATCTCACTTCTGCAGGGACAGTTTCTGCACAAATCAAAGGACCTCGTCAGCACTCGGCAATTCGTGTCCACGTGTTAGTTAGCCATGCCAGTATGTTCAATCATTCAAACTTGGCCAACATGTAGACTGTAGCGCTCGCCTTAAATCAATTTGCCTACGCTCGCGTTGGCTGAGGCTTGGCCAAGTGTTGCCGGCTTTACATAATATACTAAACGTAAAAGTAAATATGATACTTATAAGAAAAATAATTTTTAAAATATTTGTCTGTTTGTTCCGGCTAATCTCCAAAACGGCTGGACCGACTTTGACGGGACTTTCACTAGCATATAGCTGATATTATATGGAGTAATTTAGGTACTCTTATTTTCACAAAAAAATTAAGGTTCCGCGAAAAAAATTAAAACCCAGAAATCCAATAGTAATGAATTCCATGCGGGCGATATCACGGGGAACAGCTAGTACTTAAATGATAGACCTCTGAACGACTTTACACTTGTTGGACACATATATTCGGTAAACCCAGATAAGATATATCTCTCGAAGACTCATCAAAGTTTTTTCATCTGCAGATAGCATAAGCGACTGGGAAAGGAGGCAGCCAC